TTGAGGGATTTGTCAGGGAGGCCCTGACAAGTGTGGATGACAGTGATGGTGACTCACCTGAGGGCCAGTAGCCTGCCCTCTGCCTCGGAACCAGCCTCCATCCCCGTACGCCGACCCATCTCTTCTACTAACGTAAGTGTTCAACCTAACTTTTAGTTTTCCTAACCTAACCTTTATTTTTCCTAACTTAACCTTTATTTTTTCTAACCTAACCTCTTCTATATTACTTGTGTGTGCATACCATCATAAAGTTAAGATAAAATTTTTACTACAACATAGTTGTGTCGTCAAAAAGTGGAGTTTGGGGGTCGGCCCGGTCTCTATTTCAATTAATCCCATATGTTATGTTGTTCACTTTACGCGTTTCTCACTTTCCGCGGTACCCTGTGGGTTATATTAACCGCGTAAAGTGAGGGTTGACTGTATATATACCCAAGACCAAACCCAGTGCCTCTAGAAATAGAATGAGACCGCTATACAAAACTATGCGGTGGTCGACAAAGTTAAGAAGAAAACTAAGAAATTTGAGACGTGGGTTAGGACAAACAATGAGCAGGACAGGATGATGTATGTCAGATACAGGAAGCAAGCAAAGTCAGAGTGTAGAAGGGCTGAAAAAGAGTTCCAGAGGTCAAGTCAGACCCAAGGGCGTCTTACCGCTACGCAAAGTCAAATTTAAAAATGCGAGTAAGATATCGGGCCTGAGGCTTGAAGACGGTAGTTACTCAAATTCTGACCAGGACAAGTCGGAGGCATTGAACAGTTTCTTTTCCACGGTGTTCACAAGAGAGGATGCAAACAATCCTCCTGTGTTTGACGACAGATGGTTTGACACAGCGCTGACCCACATTGTGGTCTCAGAAGAAGTTACAAGAAATAAACTGTCACAACTAAAGGTTCATAAGACGGCCCTGACGTGGTGCATCCTAGAGTGCCAAGAAAGTTGTGCAATGAGCTTGGTGTGCCCTTGAAGATCCTGTTCTGTAAATATCTGAATGATCAAAAGGTCATCAGTGATTGGAAAAATGGCTTATGTGAGTCCTATTTCCAAGAAGGGCGATTGTCACTCCATGAATAATTATAGACCAGTGAGCCTGACCAGCATAGTGTGTAAAGTACTTAAGAGCATTATAAGAGATGCCAAGATGGAATATCTACTACAAAACAACCTTGTAAAGGAGTGCCAACACTGTTTAATGCAAGGACACTCCTGTTTAACACAATTACTCAAGGTACTGGATATTTGGACCCAAATTCTGGAACAGGGTGGCAATATAAAAAATATATACCAAGATTTTGCCAAGGCTTTTAACAGCATACCCCATGAAAGGCTGAGAATTAAACTGGAAGGGAACAGGATTCGGGGAAATGTCCGAGTGTGGATGGGAGATTTTCTGTACGATTGAAAGCAGTGTGTGGTGATTAATGGTATGAAATCATCATGTGTATCCGTGACAAGCAGGGTACTACAGGGCAGTGTATTGGGCCCATTGTTGTTTGTTTCATAAATGACATGCCAGAAGCTATACACTCCCCCAAACAAATATTTGCAGATGATGCCAAGTTATTTAGGGAAATTAAGAACCAAACAGACTGTGAAGAGCTGCAGAAAGATCTCTGTGAGTTCTGAGAATGCTCGAAGATATAGCTGCTAAGAGTCAATGTCACGAATTGTAAGAGGATGCACCTGGGTCGTACCAACGGTAAGGAGGGCTGCTGTGAAAAGAAGATGAATCAAGCAACTAAATTATGAGGTCTTATTAGAAGGTGGTTCAGATATCTAGATGGTCGGCCCTCATAACGATCTTCAAGAGTGAGGTGCTTCCCTGCCTGGAGTACTGTCACCCTGTCTGGTCCCCTAGATATGCTAGGGACTGTCAGTTGATTGAAAATGTCCAAAGGAGGATCACCAGACTGGTCCCTGCATTTCAGCACCTCAGGTACCCAGAGAAGCCTAGCTTATACTACAGACGAGCAAGGGGTGACCTAATTGAGGTGTATAAACATCTCGAAGGGCACTACTCAGTCGAGTGTCCATAGCTGGAACTGGCGGACGCCTGCAAGGAATCAGCTCAAAGTTGAAGAAGCTGCAAGTCCAGAAAACTGTGAGGGCCAACTTTTCAGAGTGAGAGTTGTGAACGCTTGGAACAACCTGCCAGTGTTGTGACGGCACCGAGTGTGAGCTGTTTCAAGACCAGACCTGACCAACACTGGAGCAGGTTCAGAGACATCCAGGAGCCAGTGCATGCCCAGAACTTGTCAACAGATACTGTATGTGACTGACTGCCCAAGCAGACAATAAGCCAATCAGTAGCAAAAAGGATAAAAGTAAAAGTCTTAAAAAAAAAAACGTACTTTACCTTTTCACTTAAATATTTAACACAGTAAGTCCTCCATACATGTGAGCTCAACATATGTAAGGACCCTATTCCTACCAGGAATTCAATTAATGCGAGCAAAATACTGAATTCAATTAATGCGAGCAAAATACTGTCTTATGCTAATAAGTGCGTTGTTACCGACTCTCGTGTTTCACTAGCTACTGTTGGGTGTTGTGCGTCACTTCTCACCACTTGCGCTCAATCTCGCATTTGCCCATGTTCCATGTGGTCTACCACTCTACCACTTCAGTGGAATGTTTCAGGATTTGGTGTTTTTTGCACCTATTATCCATTTTTCTCAAGTACAGTTACAGTTATGGCTTTCAAATACCCTACAGTATCTTCTAGTCCCTGTCCACCCATGAGAAGAGGAAGAGAACAGCCTTAACAGTGGAATTAAAGTTAGAAATTTTGAATCATTCTGAAGTGGGTGAGGGAGCATCTGCGCTTGGTCGTTACTACAAATTACTTGTAGTGACAGCTGGGGGATAGCCACTCACTACTGCACATATCAAGTAAGGTATATGAAAATAAATCTTTATTTTGTATAAATTTATTGTCCGTTGTCTTTATTTTGTAGATTTTTTATGTCTTTATTTTGTATAAATTTATTGTCCTTTGTGTCTTTATTCTGTAAAAAATTACTGATTCTATGTCTATTTACAAATTATTTGAGTTATTTAGACATTATTTAATCAATGTAGCAGCAGGATTTATATAAAACTTGTTTGGGCTCTTTAGGGTCTCAGGAACGGAACCTATTTTTCCCCATAAGTTATCAATATTGATATACAGTACATTCGATTGCTTATCAATGGCTTTTTGAGGTACCAAACTCCATCGTATAATGGCCAACATTAAATAACAGTTCATCCTAAACTGTATTAAGAACAGTATTAAGAAGAATAAAATAATGCTACTAATGCTGATATTCCTGTACAAACTACAATAGGTCGCTCAAGTTCCAGTTATCACTTACGAGTGTGAGTGGATCCTGTCATGGTCTTGTGAAGTGTCAGGCGGCAGTGCCTGGTTAGATGTCATTGCATATATTTATGTGCTAAAGGTTATAAAGGTTTTAAATTGTTGTTTAGTTTAGTCTTATTACAGTTTTAAATATTGACTAAACAATTGTACAGTACTCGAACTTGCTTCAAACAGTCAAACTAACATGAGCATTAATATTTACAAATAAGTATACTGTACATGCTTTTTCCTGTTTTATACAATGCTTCTCATTTTGTTCGTAGCTTTTGTAGGATTGATAAATTATATTAACAGTTATACTGTACTGTACCTAAAATTTAAACTTTAAAATTTAAAACTAGTGTTGAATTCCATTATAAAAATTGCATATGACCAAACACTGTCAGTATCAGACCCTCATGCCAGAACCGAGAGAGTTGGGCCAACCACGTGCCATGTTGTTAATGGGCGGATGAAGAAGTTTGAGCTCGTACTGTAGAGGATGATGATGATGATGATGATGATGATGATGATGATGATGATGATGATGATGGTGATGATGATGATGATGATGATGATTATTCGGTAAAATTGTCATACATGTTTACAATTGGATAAGCATGTTTATAAACTACTGTGGGAAAGAGCATGAGAAGACTTTCCACCCACCGAGTAATAACAGGGAGCCCGATTGACCAAACTCTATCTATTGCTCTGTCTCATGCCATGAAAATTCAGGAATAGTAAATTTCCAAAACAACATTATCAGGGCAATTAAATTTCAGAAGTCACTGTGGGGCAAGCAAATCCTAAACACAATCTTCCCAGCCTGCTTCCTCAGCTTGGCAAACCATTCATTGCATTTTTGAAAATAAAGCCGTTGCCATTGACATTTTTAAGGCTCATGGTATTCTGCCATCCTCTGTGAAGTGTGGAAAGTGCAGTTCGGTCTGTCGCTACTGTCAGGATAAGAAATTTGGTTTTGTGCAAAAAGATGAAAGGTCACTAAGACGATGAAATCTCCTCACTGTAGTTTCTGTGTTTAAGGGAACTTGGCTGGATAAAGCACATGTGTCGGCATGGAAGAATTTTTTAGTTTTAATATATTTATCAGGAAAGATTTAAATCACCAGTATGTTGCAAAAAACTTGGATACAGGTGTATTGTATATTATTTGAAACTGCCGTAAATTGGAAAAGCTTCTGTTTTAAAGTCTATGAACATTGGTGACTACTAAATTTGATATAAGAATAAAAAATTCGCCTTATGGAAATGAGGTGTTTCTTCAAAATTCTCAAAATACACACACACACACACACAAAAGGATTTCATAGCCTCTTTGAACACCAGAAAGTGTACCAGTCTTGTTTACATTTGCTTGTGTGTGTAACATACGATTTTTATACGGTACTCCCTCATTTCCTAAACACCTTTTATTTTATATGATACTTAGGTTCATACGGTTTTGCCATTCCATCGCCAGGCACTGTGTGAAGTGTGGGGCAGTGTACAGTGCATTGAACCTACCACTACTTGTTATACAGGTTGTATTAAAATTTAGATTATGCCTCTTAATGTATAATGAATTAACTGTGCAAAAATTTAATATCCTAGGCTTGATATGCCTATACAGTACATATTTGGAACACTTACCCAAACTCTCTTGAGAAGAGTCTGTTGTGTCCACTCAGCCCCAACGTACATCACACCATATGCCACCATGTTCTTGACTAGTGGTCTGGACTTGAAAAATTTGGAAACACTTTTCCACATGGCTTCTCTTCTGGTAGTGTCAATGACAGCAACTTACACTTATCTCTGCAAAATAATTGTTTACTTCTATACTGTGCTCTACTGTACTATGGTAAATATATAGACAACACAGGTTTCTCAACTCAGCAACGAGACATATAGTTTATCTAGAGTTACTTTTTTATGGTCTATACACTGGTGACAACCATTTCTTGTGTAAATACTTTGTTTTGAGTTATGACCCATTTCTCCTCCTTCAATATTAATACCCCACAGAGTGGGCAGGGCTTTTAAGAAGAGGGAACATGGGGGGGTTAAAACCTTATTTTTAGAAATTTTTTAAGGCTAAGAGTTTTTTAATTTTCTTGGCAGCTGGTGACACTGTTACAAATGTCCAGCCAGTCTGTAGAAAACTGCGGCAGTATTAATAAAACTAACCCAACCTAACCTACCAAACCTACAAAACCAACCTAACCAAAGCCTTGCCCACTTTGTGGGACATCAATTTTGAAGGAAGAGAAAAGTCTTGTTGCTGGGTCGAGGAACCGGTGCTGTCTATATAATACAGTATAGTCTAAAATAAGACACGTGACTGACTGCCCAAGTCAGTAATAGGCCATTCAGTGGCAAAGGAAACAGAGTAAGTATTAAGTAAAAAGACCTCACCCTGTCTCTTATTGAGAGACTGGTAACCCTCTGAAGTACCAGAGACTGCTACATTATACAGTATATTTTATTACTCATACAATGAACCAAATTAACTTACCTAACCTATATCATATAATAGTGGTTATGCGAAGGTCAAGCTTAGGTAGGTTAGTTTGGTTCATTATATGAACAATAAATTAATAAATATACAGTATACAATATGGTAACTATTGATAACTGACTTGTTGCCAAATTTTCATACAAAATTAATTTAAAAATACGATGTACCACAATATCACTGTGTTTTGCAGTAGACACTGTTGTAGTTTGGGAAAATGTGTTAAAATTAGGTTATTTCTAAAGTAAATTTAACCTAACAAGTGGCCAAAGAATTGCTAGCAGATGGCACCAACCTAACCAAAGAATCCTACCTAACTTCCCCCTGGCATATTAAACAGATAGAACATACTTTGATATGGCGTAATTTTAGGTTTTCATGGACATGAGAGTAAACACAGACCAAGAGGGTCAGTTATTACACTGAAACAAACAAAGAGCGGACGACAACATCAAGCGTGAATTGGGCTGCCATACCGTTTCACCGCCAAGATAGACGAAGTAGTGTGAGCCTAAAGTGCCTAATTATTTATAATACAAAGCATTTGCCCAAGAAATGAATAAACGAATATCATCACTAGTTGATTCTCGACCAGTGAGACATTATATATATATATATATATATATATATATATATATATATATATATATATATATATATATATATATATATATATATATATATATATATATATATATATATATATATATATATATATATAATTACAGCAAGTAAAAGCTGTCTTAACCAACTAAAGAATCCTACCTAACATTACCTAACTTCCTAGCCGGAGAGCAGACCCGCAGACCTCGACATATTAAACAGAAATTACTTATTTTGATATCTAATAACAATGAAAGCAACTTTGTTGAAGCGTCACGGTGTAATTTTAAATTTTTGTGGACGTGGGAGTATGCTCAGATCGAGTGGTTAGGTTGCAAGCAAACAGAGCTAATGACAACACGTGACAACAACAGCAGATTTTTCGGAGGAGTATTTAGGGTAAATAATTCATTTCTTCATGTACAAGGCATGTAGACATAATTTTTGTGTCATATGATCAGTTTTTCACTGTTTTTACCCTGCAATTTCCCCCATCCTTCATGCCCTGCTCAATACAGGCTATTTATGATGGTAGGTAGAGAAAAACTAAAAAAAATACTAATTATTCAGATCGTGACCATCAGCTGTTTTTATTAGAGGATACTGTATTATTTGGGGAAAAATATAAAAATGGCTGAAATCATGTGCTAACCTAACCCAACCATACCTATATCTTAACTTGCCTATATCTAGTAAACTAAGTATTTACACAACAAAATGAATTGAACTGAAAGTAATCAGTGTACAAAACTGTGTCTAAAAAGAAGCCCTCCTAATAACCGAATTGCTAATGACCACGTTTCGTATATTAGCCCTCATGGTACATTGTTTACATCTGCCACATCACAGCTAATGACGTGACTGTAAGAATGCTATCTTAACCCACCTATACAGTATCTAGAAAACTAAGTATTTGCCCAAGAAAATTAATAGAAGTTAAAGTAATCAGCATACAAAATTGTGCCTAAAAACACCCACCACTAATACCGAATCGCTGACAGTCACGAGTCGTATATCAGCATGTACAGTACCTAACCTAACACAACTCAGATTAAATTAAGTTTACCAATTTTTTGTGACTTTATGACACCAAATAATAATCAAGAAGTGATTCACAGCCCGATTTACACTTGTAGGACCATCATTTGACTTCATTGCGACTACATTTGGGTACATTTGGGTAATTACTCGCTCCCTCGGTACAAGCACGCAATCTATTAACTCAGATTAAATTAAGTTTTCCAATATTTTTTTTTACTTTGTGACACCAAATACTAGTCGAGAAGTGATTAGCAGTCTGATTTATTCATGAAGAACCATTGTGACTTCATTGCGGCTACATTTGGGTAATTAGTCGGACCACTTTCAACCAGACTTGACCAACACTGGCGCAGGTACAGCATAGTCTATATTCTATACAGATACAATTCAGGAGCCAGTGCCATGCCCAGTACTTACCAACAGTGCATAACAAAGACGTGACCAACCGTTCAAACGGCTAATGAACTGATCAGTGGCGAAGAGGATTAAAGTAAATGTTGATAAGTGCAAAAAAAAAGAGATGTGCTGACAAAACAATTAACTTCCATTAAATTGTAGTATCATATCATACCCTACAAATGGTGACCCCAGAGTGACCACTCACACAGGATGGAGGAGAAACATCTCATAGCCTACAAAATAACGAATTAACGTCCCTCAATATTAATATTAGGCCTAAACTTAACTTTATCCAATAATGATCCTGAGCCACTTATTCATTATCTAATCCAGACGACAGAAAAACTTTTTAGTTCACGATGTACTGCACATCTTACCTGAGATAAAGACGGTGTATGTAACCGTTACCTGGAGGCTGGTACCCGTGTCCAAAAGTATTAATCTAAAACATTTAAAATAAATATAACAATGAAAAAAAAATAATAATGATTCTTTGAAATGTATTAAATTCGGATTCGCTTTAGTCGAAGTTACAATTATTTCCGAGCGTACAAACATAGTCGATATTTTGTTGAAAACCCGAATTTCAAATTACCTCAGCATCCGTAGCCGTATGATCTTCGCCACTGATCAGTATTTGAGCCGCTTGGAGTGGTCGGTCATTTCTTTGTTACGCAATGTAAGCAAATACTGGGCATGTATAGGCTCCACAATGTACCCGAACACGAGTCAGTAACGGCCAAGTCGCCGCCAAAAAAACAAAGTAATAGAAGAGACCAACCGATCAAACAGCTAGTAGGCTGATAAGTGGTGAAATTAAAATAAATAAATGAAATTTGAATAAATAAATACTGCTAAAAAGTTAGGAATATACGAATAAAATTAGTTATCCCTATCCATTTTCTTTAAGCTGATATTTTACTGTTCATAGAAGATGTAAAATATATATTTAGGATAAACCTGTCTACTTACAAAGATTAACCATAAATTTTCCCCTTACAAAAATAACTACCACAAAGCGCCATTTAAACATTTTAAAAAAGAAAAGAAAAAAGTAACAGAAAAAGTTGATAGTGTACTGAAAACAGCGCCCACTACAAATACCGTGGTTCAACAGACATCTCGTTACGGCCAAGTTAGGTTTGTCGCTACATGTTGAATTGTGTGCATATATACCTGTAGTATTTGTGATACTGTCTAGTAGTCCGACGGGACTCTAGTAGAAATATAGTATGACTTAGTTAACACTATGGCACAATTGTGACCTAGTAGATGGTCTATGCTTGCAGGCCAATGATTTACTCTCTTGTCTTTTTTACTTACCTTTATCCTCTTCACCACTGATCGGCTCATTAGCCGCTAGGGTGATCGGTCACGTCTCTAACGCACTGTTGGCAAGGACTGGCTCCAGGATGTATCTGGACCTGCTCTATTGCATGTCAAGTCTGGTCTTGAAAGAGCTCACATTCGGTCCCGTCACAATACTCTCTGGCAGATTGTTCCAAGAATTCATAACTCTCACTCCGAAAAAGTTACCCCTCACAGTTTTCTGGGCTTGCGGCTTCTTCAACCTCGAGTTGTGACCCCTTGTGGGGCGAGCGTCCGCCAGCTCCAGGTAAGGGCACTCGACTGAGTAGTACCCTTTGAGATGTTTATACCCCTCAATTAGGTCTCCCTTTGCCCGTCTGTAGTATACTTTTTGCTTTTATCCTCTTCACCACTGATCGGCTCGTTAGCCGCTTGGGCGATCGCTCACGTCTCTGTTACTTTTCTTTTTCGTTTATCCTCTTCACCACTGATCGGCTCGTTAGCCGCTTGGGCGATCGGTCACGACTCTGTTACGCACTGTTGGCAAGTACTGGGCATGCACCGGCTCCTGAATATACCTGAGCCTGCTCCAGTGTTGGTCAAGTCTGGTCTTGAAAGAGCTCACACTCGGTGCCGTCACAACACTTTCTGGGAGGTTGTTCCAAGAGTTCACAACTCTCACTCCGAAAAAGTTAGCCCTCACAGTTTTCTGGACTTGCGGCTTCTTCAATCTTGAGCTGTGACCCCTTGTGGGGCGAGCGTCCGCCAGCTCCAAGTAAGGACACTCGACTGAGTAGTGCCCCTTGAGATGCTTATACACCTCAATTAGGTCACCCCTTGCCCGTCTGTAGTATAAGCTAGGCAAGGTGAGGAGCTCCAATCTCTCAGGGTAGTTGAGGTGCCGAAGTGCAGGCACCAGTCTGCTTGGTTATTAATTTCCCGAAATAACTGGGCGTCATCCGCAAACATTTGTATGGAGGGATGTACAGCGTCAGGCATGTCATTTATGAAGCAAACAAACAACAGCGGACCCAATACACTGCCCTTTGGTACCCCGCTTTTGATGGGTACACATGATGATTTCATGCCATTAATCACCACACACTGCTTGCGGTCACGGAGAATGTCTCCGATCCACGCTAGGACATTTCCCCGAATCCCGTACCCTACCAGTTTAATTTTCAGACTTTCATGAGGTACGCTGTCGAAAGCCTTGTCAAAATCTAGGTATATATTGTCGATATTACCACCCTGTTCTAGAATTTGGGTCCAAACATCCAGTACCTTGAGTAATTGTGTTAAGCAGGAGCGCCCCGGCATAAAACCGTGTTTCGTAGTAGATGTTCCATCATGACATCTCTCATAATGCTCTCAAATACCTTACATACTATGCTGGTCAGGCTCACCGGTGTATAGTTATTCGTGGAGTGACTATCGCCCTTCTTGAAGATAGGACTCACATAAGCCACTTTCCATTCACTGAGGACCTTTTATTCATCCAGGCATTTACAAAACAGGATCTTCAGGGGCTCGGCAAGCTCGTTGCACAACTCTCTTAGCACTCTAGGATGCACCATGTCAGGACCGGGACTCTTATGGACCTTTAGCTTTGAAAATTTATTTTTAATACCCTCTTCTGTGAACACAATGTGGGTCAGTGCTGTGTCGAACCGTCTGTCCTCAAACGCAGGAAGGTTATTCGCACCATCTCTTGTGAACATCGAGGAAAAGAAATTGTTCAATGCCTCAGCTTTGTCCTGGCCATAATCTCCGTAACTACCATCTTCAAGCCTCAGGTCCGATACTCCAACTCGCATTTTTAATTTCAACTTTGCATAGCGGTAAAACGCCTTTGGGTTTGACTTGACCTCGCTTGCAACCAGCCTCTGGAACTCCTTTTTAGCCCTTCTACACTCTATCTTTGCTTGGTTCCTGGCTCTTGCATACATCCCCCCGTCCTGCTCATCGTTTGACCTAACCCACGCCTTGAATTTCTGGGTTTTCTTCTTAACTTTCTCGCCCGCCGCATGGTTCATGTGTAGGGGTCTCGTATTCCTAGAGGCACTGGGTTTGGTCTTGGGTATATATTTCTCGATCAAATGGTTCATTTTACTAGCTATGATATTCAGCGGAGTGTCTGCGTTCTTATGTTTTAGTGAGTCAGGCCAGTGGATACCCCTCATCTCCTCCCTCATCCCGTCGTAATTTCCCTTGTAATATTTGCACCTTGGTCTGGTGCCGTCTCTTACACTTCGTGACATTGAATCAAAACAGCCATCCTTCGACCACTCTTGAAGCCGACAGAGCTCTCTCTGTAACTCTTCACACTCTATTTGGTCCTTAATTTCCTTGAATAACTTGACATTGTCTGCAAACATTTGTTTGAAGGAGTGTATAGCTTCTGGCATGTCATTTATGAACCAAATAAACAAGGGGCCCAGTACACTGCCCTGTGGTACCCCGCTTGTCACGGATATGCATGACGCTTTCGTGCGATTAATCACCACACACTGCTTGCGGTAACAGAGGTGTTTCACTGGTGATGATAGCACAGATGGCTCACTGGTGGTGGTAACACATGTGGTGGTAACACCAGTGGTTCACTGGTGGTAACACCAGTGGTTCACTGGTGGTGGTAACAGGTGGTTCATTGATTATAACACAGATGGTTCACTGATGGTGGTAACTCAGGTGATGGTAACACTGGTGGTGGTAACACATGTGGTGGTAACACCAGTGGTTCACTGGTGGTAACACCAGTGGTTCACTGGTGATAACACCGGTGGTTCACTGGTGGTGGTAACACCAGTGGTTCACTGGTGATGGTAACACTTGTGGTGGTAACACAGGTGAGTCACTGGTTGTGGTAACACTGGCGGGTCACTGGTGGTGGTAACACAGGTGGTTCACTGGTGGTGGTAACACTGGTGGTGGTAACACTTGGTGGTGGTGACACATGTGGTAACACTGGTGAGTCACTGGTTGTGGTAACACTGGCGGGTCACTGGTGGTGGTAACACAGGTGGTTCACTGGTGGTAACACTGGTGGTGACACATGTGGTGGTAACACTGGTGAGTCACTGGTTGTGGTAACATTGGCGGGTCACTGGTTGTGGTAACACTGACGGGTCACTGGTTGTGGTAATACTGACGGGACACTGGTGGTGGTAACACTGGCGGGTCACTGGTTGTGGTAACACTGACGGGTCACTAGTTGTGGTAACACTGGCGGGTCACTGGCGGGTCACGGTGGTGGTAACACTGGCGGACACTGGTGGTGGTAACACTGGCGGGTCACTGGTTTTGGTAACACCGACGGGTCACTGGTTGTGGTAACACTGACGGGTCACTGGTTGTAACACTGGCGGGTCACTGGTCGTGGTAACACTGACGGGTCACTGGCTGTGGTAACACTGGCGGGTCACTGGTAACACTGGCGGGTCACTGGGTGTGTGGCAACACTGGCGGGTCACTGGTAACACTGGCGGGTCACTGGCACTGTCACTGGGTGGTAACACTGACGGGTCACTAGTTGTGGTAACACTGACGGGTCACTGGTTGTGGTGGTAACACTGGCGGGTCACTGGTTGTGGTAACACTGGCGGGTCACTGGTTGTGGTAACACTGACGGGTCACTAGTTGTGGTAACACCGACGGGTCATAACACTGACGGGTCACTGGTTGTGGTAACACTGGCGGGTCACGGGTCACTGGTTGTGGTAACACTGGCGGGTCACTGGTTGTGGCAACACTGACGGGTCACTAACACTGACGGGTCACTGGTTGTGGTAACACCGACGGGTCACTGGTTGTGGTAACACTGACGGGTCACTGGTTGTGGTGGTCAGTGGCGGGTCACTGGTGTGGTAACACTGACGGGTCACTGGTTGTGGTAACACTGACGGGACACTGGTGGTGGTAACACTGGCGGGTCACTGGTGGTAACACTGGCGGGTCACTGATGGTGGTAACACTGACGGGTCACTGGTGGTGGTAACACTGACGGGTCACTGGTGTGGTAACACTGACGGGTCACTGGTGGTGGTAACACTGA